AGAATGAGAAAGCAAGACATCGGGTCCAGGACTCAAACCACAGTCGGCCATGTGGGAGTCTAGCATTCTTAACCACCACACCACCACCTTCTGTATTTCTTTGGCCCAGACTGCTTTGTTGAGCCTGGTATCAATGGGCACATCTGGAGTCCCCGTCTTCACGGCAAATTTCCGGATCTCTTTGAGTGCCCTCGGGGTGCGTTTCTTGCTGCCCACGCCATGGCTGCATGTGCTGGTGAATGTTGATGGTGTGTTCCCAGGTCACCATCTTCGTGATGGCAGAGCTACCCTTTTTCTTGCCACCCTTCTTCGCGGGAACCATTCTGCTTTCCCTTATCTGCCTTCTCTTTTTTTTTTTTTTTTTTGAGAGGTTTTCGCTATAGGGTGCGTGCGCTCACCAGACAGACAGAGAGAGACATAGAGGCAGAAAGCGAGAAATCACCCCCCAAGGGGGATGGTCACGCCGCAGTCCCTTCTCCTCCATTCTCCTCTCGGGATCTTGGGCATGCACGCACACGTGCCCAGCGTGAGTTTTAAGCCACCGGGTCCGGGACGCGAACCACGGTCGACTACGTGGGAGTCCAGCGACATAGCCATTATGCTAACTGCTGGTTCCCTATCTGCCTTCTCTTTGAGTTATTTGTATATTTTTCAAAAAGTATTTGGTTCCAAGGATTTAGCAATTTAACAGGTGGTTTGGTTGTTTTAATTCTCTAAAGTGCTCCTTGTATCATTTTTTCTATCAGTATATCAACTTGACGTATGTCTTTGTGGGCTCTAGTATGGCTTAATGGTTATGACACTGGACACCCACGTAGTCTCTCTGTCTCTCCAGCAAGTGCACACGCCCTATAGCAAAAATCTCTCTTAAAAAAAGAGAGAAGATAACTTTAGACCTAAAGCCCATCTATTTTCAGATGAGGAAAGTAAGGACCAGGACCAGCAGCAGTTGGTGTAATGGCTATGTCGGTGGACTCCCATGTAGTCCACCACGGTTCAAGTCCCAGACCCGGTGGCTTAATCTCACACCGGGTGCGTGTGTGTGTGTGTGTGCGCGCCCAAGATCCTGAGAGGAGAAGGGAGGAGAAGGGATAGCGGTATGGCCATTCCTCTTGGGGGGTGATTTCTTGCTTTCTCTCTCTCTCTGTTTTTCTGGTGAGGGCCCATGCCCTATAGCAAAAACCTCTCCAGAAAAAAAGGTAAAAAACCACAAAAATCATTTGTAGTTTATTATATGTTAATGCTTCATAAAGTTCTTTTAGAGATTGTACCTTTCAGAGTGTTCTTACTGTTACTCTGTATGTTTCAGTTCGTGTCCAGTTGTAGGCTTTGAGAGAGATGGAGCATAGTATGCTTACTCCATATTGCCCAGAAGTCTGAGCTCTTGGCTTCTTTTTAAATAGGTTATATGATCCTTTTTGTAAATCATTATTTACTGGCATTGTATTTCTCTTTGCAGATAGCCCAGAGTGAGACAGTAACTAGCACAGCTGAGAGTTTGTATACAGGTGGGACTGAGGTGACTGTGCCTCTTTTCTGTAAAGCTGAAGAACCTGACGCTATTACCACATCTGTTAGTTCACTGCCCGTTTCCTCTGGGACTGCAGACACACCTGTAGATTTGTCTACTAGAAAGGAAATTGATACAGCTCCTACAAGTGAAGGTAAGATTTGACTTATGGTTATCTCATGCATGTGTTTTTTTTTTTGTTTGTTTTGTTTTTTTTAAAATGTGTTAGTATTTTATTATGAATATAAGCATTTGATGCCAAAGAAATGAAGTTTTATAAACTTAGAATTGTTAAGTACATTAATTTCCATTTCATTGTATCTTTTTCTCTCAAGCTTGGTAAGATTCATTTTTCTACAATTCCTCCAACACAGCTCCTTGGGAATTACTTCAGCCATCCCTATGGTGACTTTATCAAAGACTTGGAAGCTAAACAAATGACTAACTTTTAGATGATAATAGTCATCATATAACAATTAGGGGCATTAATCTCCAACAAGACACTTCATTGAAATGTTTCTTTGATGTAACAGTTAAAGATCAGAGCCTTCAAAAAAAGGGGGCAGAGAAAGAAGCTTCTGCAGCTTAAGTCTCCCAGTCTTAAACCTGACAGATGCATGGCAAAATGTCTTTCCTGCAAAATAAATGGGTCTCCAATATTCCCCTCTACTTGAGCTGTCAAAGATAGATGCCTCAAACCTATCACTGACATACATACCATCCTGGCTCTGGCTGAATTAATTATGCCGGAAGAGTTTAATGCCCATCCAAGTCCAAAGTTGGAAGAACACATACAGGGGGATGGTGACTGGCAGGAGCAGACTGTAGAAGCAGAGGCTGGCTATGCTGTGCAGCCCTGCGGCAAGTTTTCCTCCCCAGAGGCCGAGTAGCACAACCCTGCTAAAGAGACCGAATAAGAACAGTCAGCGTAGGGAGAGACAGAAACATCCTTCTCCACTTACTACCCGCCACCCTGAACTGAAAGGTACTTGATTTTCAGGAAATTGAGCAGTGGTGTGTGTAATTATGAGCTAGTGCTGCTCTGTTTCTTCTTGCTTCTTATTTTGATGTGTTGTCCTGGCTGCCTGTGGTATCATGTTAGGAATCCCATCAATGATTGGATAGGCTATTCCCAACTCGTCGTTAATCCATTCATTTGTTGTTGCTTCATATCTGAGGGGAGGAAAGAAAAACAAAATGAACGGAGCGGCTTCTTGGAGAGCAGGCACACCAGGAACTCCAGCAGCGCCGGGTCAAAGGTGCGGGGCGACTTCGCCCTCTCGCTCCCGTCGGCCGAGCGCCTGGTACCCGCAGCATGCAGGCGCCTGCGGACTACAGCCGGCTGCGGCGCGCGTGCGCCCCGCAGCCAGGCGAGCCGGCCGCAGGCTCCACTCAGCATGGTCCGGGCAGCCACACACCGTGCCTGTCCGCGCTGCCTGTGCCGCGCGCTCCCCATGCATGTGTTTTTGAGAAGATAAGATTTTTAAGGGTAGATCCTAAAAACTATTTAAAACAAAATTTGAAATGTATAAAAGTCTAAAGTAGATAAGAAAAATCAGAATATCTTGCCAATAAAGATAATAAACATGTACTTCTATTGTTAGAGTTGTTGTTATTACAGAATACAGAGCATTTTGATTTCATCTGCCTGAACATTAAAAACCAGTAGTTTGCTTACATGATTTTTCGTTTTACTATTGTTCGAATTATGTTATCAAGCATATATACAGTATGTTTTAACTACATGGGGAGTAATGTACAGAAAATAGTTCATGAGAGGTTTACAGTTTTTATGATACTATTTAAATACCTGTTAGCCTCAAAACTTTACTAAGTTAGATATAGTTATAGCACTTAATATTTGATGTTGCTTTCTCCCTTGTTTTCCGGTTTGATTTTTGAGGGATGGACTGGGTGGGAAGTATCTATTTAAATGTATTGTGTTTTGTTTGTTTGCTTATTTATTTAGAATTATTTAACTATTTATTTATTTATT